GAAGCAAAACGCTCATTGGGTAACTGTATTTTACGTCGAGGCACTCTCTTAACCGCAACGTCATAGAGGAGCCACACTGAGTTTTGCTGCATGGCGCTGTGATGCGGTGCCGGCAAAGAACTGGTTGCGCCATATGAACTGCAAATACAAGCGGCGGCAATTGGCCAAAGATGCGGTGCCGTCAACTGAGGTTACTATTGCCGTTGCAATTCACCAGATAGATAATCTGTACATGTGGCATACAAACATAAACGTCAATGCAAAAATATATATGTACATATTAGGGTGCTTTTTTTGGGACTATTGTTTTTTTCACTCCTACCTCGAAATTTTGTGTAAAACACCTAAAAAAATCTCCCCGAACATTTGAACGCTTAATATTAACATATGTTATTTACGAGATAGGAGCAAAAAACGGGAAATTAATGAAAATGTTGGATTTGGTGACCCGTACTAACTCGCTGGTGGGAGTTAGAGCCACGCCGCAATGGCGAGCATTCAATTCTGAAGAAAATCCGCCATTGACCACAATTACACCATGAAATTCTCTGAGCAGTACTTTTGAAAAACAAAGAATCAAAGTTTACGTGTATTTTATAGGTATGGGAAATCTTTGCACGCCTTGGGCGAGTGTTTAACGTTAATATTAACGGTTAAAATTTTCAGGGAGTTTTTTATAGGTGTTTTTCACAAAATTTCGAGTTAGGAATGAAAAAAAAACAATAGTCGCAAAAAAGGCACCCTAATACATCTGCACATATATTTGTGCATCTTTATATGTGTATGTGTGTATGCACATCATAAAAACTAGCTAGTCGATAGACACTAGAATTACAGGAAACCTGTTATGCTTGGAGATGCTACATGCGTCAAACGCTCGGATGTTCGTAGGGCACTGAGTTGGTGCAGTCGTATTTGTTGGAAAAGCTGCAATGCCTTGTTTGTATCGTCTATTCTAAATACATATGTGCACATTAGGCTGGTCCAAAATTGCATGTGAAAAAGTAAAGTCGAAATTTTAATGCCCTCACCCCTAGCATTGTTTTATACCGAAAAAAATTTGCCTCTATTTTTTATTTAGAAATCAAAAAATATTTAGAGGTCGCTCATAGTAACTATGTTTTATAGGTCCGCCAAAACCCACAGAAAATGCCAGAAAATGCAATGGGGGGGATAAATAAAAAACGTTAGTATTAAAAAATGGTCCTGAAGAGAACCAGAGTTTTCCGATCGAGAAATTTTGATTTTCAAGAATTCCACACCATTTCTACGAAAACTTGTTATTTTCCCAATACAAAATTCATGGAAAACTTTGAGCGCTTTGAACGACCTCTAAATATTTCTTCATTTCAAAATAAAAAATAGGGGTATATATATATATATATATTTTCGCTAAAGAACAATACTGTGGGGTGTAAGGATTAAAATTCCGAGTTTACTTGTTTTGGACCACCCTAGTGTACTTGCATACATATCTAGCTGCTGTTGCTCGAACAGGATTCAAGCTTTTTACCATCTCAGCTACATATGTATATGTACGAGTATGCACTTGTACTTACAAACGTTTTTACAATCAAACGTATTTGTTGCTATACCTATAGTACGTACGGTGACCATATTTATGGCAGCCGAATACGGGAGAAAATTATAATTTTGCCAATATGTTCCACTAAAGCTAGAGGATTTTAAAACGTCTTCCAATGATCTTAGATTTATTAGCCCTGAAAAGGCATCTTTATTTGACATATGTTTTCGATCTTCAGATTCGTGTAATTTTTATGAGCTTTTAAGGTGCCAAAATACCGAATACGGGACAAATACGGAACATTAAAAGAAATATAGAACATTTGGCAATTGATGAAAAAGAGGACTGTCCCGCATAATACAAGACGAATGGTCACCGTACCTTCTTTTTACGTTTTGTTTTTGAAAGCATTTGCGCGAAATATAAGAAAACTTTATGCTGAGTTTGTATTACACTAATACAAGTGCACAATTGCATACTAAAGAAAGTTGTATGGGCGAGTTTTCCACTAAGCGTAGCATGGCTTAGTACACTTCCTGGTTATACATAGAAAGCAACTTTTTAAGCGATCATAAAACAGCCCCATCTTTATGAAGATTAAAATGGTGAAAGCAATCGTTGGATTTGTCTGTAAACGGAGTTGGTTTTAAGCGTCGTTAGATACATACGTTCATAGTACATATATATCTGTGTTCGCATGGATGTCTACGATTTCCAATCGAATGTTACTATTTCTCTTCGATTATTCGAATAGTCGCAAAGCTACGATTATTCGAATACCTTATTATAATCGAATATTCGAGCGCACGCCACAAAGTCGGAGGAGAAGCTCGGCCAAACACCAGCATATGTGTAAGCGCCAATATGGTATTATTATTATTTAATAATATTTCTAGGTTAGGTCCTTTAATCGAGTAATATCAAATTTAAGTTTTGAACGAAATTTTCTAATTTTCGGTGGCTCTGAAAACTCATAGTGGAGGTTGTTAGTGCGAAGAATCCGAGCTTGCCATTATTTTTGCGATCCGACAAATATTTATGTAGGGAAATTGCCAAAAATTTGTTGGAAATACATTTTATTTTTATTTATTTTTGATTTTTTGATAAAAATGCCCTCCTAAAAATTGTATCGCAATCAGAGAGGAAAAAATATACTATTCATAAAAAATGTTTCGATTTTGAGCAAAAACTCCTAAAGTTTTGTATGTTGTTTACACCTATTTCAAATTGAAATGACTTCAAACTTGGTTAAATTATATACTTCAGTAAAAAAAAAAAACAAATGTAAAAAATGAGTCCCTGTTACGGCAAGCAAATTGAAAGAAATGACCAAAGAATATGTATAACCATGATACAAAAAAAGAAGGCAGTTTCGCTTTGAAATTATTTGACATAAACTGTGCTTATGACGTTTATACTTTTCGTAAATTGCACAAGTAGCACTGTCACATAGACAAATTATTGCTTCGGAAATTTTAATATTTATGTGACAAATTTGTTATACATTAAAAAATAATAACACGTACGGTAAATTTACTTATTTCATCGCTCAGCAGAGCTCTAAATAAGTGTGTATAGATTTAAAATACCCTAAATAAATTTACCGCAAAAAAATTTGGCATTATCTGCAGTGTTACATGGAATATTATTATTATATATGGCCTTTTAAGAAATTTAGATATTAGGATTTAGCTTTAATTCGGATACTCGTTAGGGGAAATATGAACAATGGAATGGTTAACAGTGGCTTACCGTCAATGAAAGCACCATGGAAGCATAAACTTATTTGTGATAACGCATGATGTAGTGATGCAGAGGGAGGTACAAAAATTTCCCAAAGGCCCCGCCAGATAGAAATTCTGCGTCACAGGGATGCTTCTTATGACTGACAAAACGCCCATAACATGGCGAGGCGGCACAATGAAAACGTTGCCGTAAAGAAAACGGCTCATTTTGATTGGACAAAAGTCAGCTGGTTTGAATTCCCTTCATACATTAGCTCTGATCCAGTACTCCATGAACTTCCAGGATTTTACACGAACTTGCAGGAAGTTGGAGGAAAAATGTTCCCGTACTCCAAAATCCTCCAAAATCCTGTAAATGAGAGCGACTTTTGGAGAGTTGTATAGAGAATGAAGTTGCAAGATTTTACCCGGACTTTTTCTTCTGGTAAAATCATGAAAAGTGTCAAGCAATCACTGGTTGACGTTTTTACAGGAAAAAAATGGTTTTTTGTTCCCGTACTTTTTGTTGTTACTTTTGGCTCTATCTGATTGGCTGAAGCAGAAAGCTTTTTGTTGCAACTCTGCGCTGAACTGGTTTTCAAAGGAATTAAATTATTTAACTGGTTCAATTTTCCAACAACAATTGCATGCGATTTAACTTGTTTGTAAACATGTTTCGTTCATTTAACTGGTTCAAGCCCATTTAACATGTTAAATTTAGCAATTTGAACGTAGTATAAGAGAACTTCCCGCTGTGAATTTTCAGAGCTATATAGATTTTTAGTATTCATCACAAAATTATACTAAAAGGTACTGCGTAGGAAAGTATATTGTAAACGAAATTGTATCAAAAAAGTACAATTGCATCAATCAAAAATGTCAAAACTGGTCTGTCTTGGTTGGTGTAAGCCATACCCGCTCTTTTGTCTTGTACCACTTAGGCCCAGTTTCGAATGAGCTATTTAAATAGCGAAACTCAATTTCAGATCACATATTTAAGGGAACGTACCCATACTACGTGACCCGTTCAGGGGGGGGAGGGTTTAAATGACCAATAATGGCTATATAAAAATGAGATATGCAACCCTGTGTTTGTACCACACGCACAAAATGTAAACAAACAAACGCGACAACAATTTCAAGGACCAAGCAACAGTGTTGCCACTTTCTTCGCATATTTGAAAAAAACTTGATCTACAATTCAACGAATAGAAGGACAAATCGCATTTAAATAACAATTCAAAATTAAACTTAAGTGCATTTTAAATATTCATCGAAAATTTCCTCTAAGAAGTTAATTTCTAAAGACTAAAACATATTTCATCGAATTATAAGTCCCCACATTGTTTTATGCAATAGAAAATTTTAGTTAGTTGTGGCTTTTTTGCATTTCAGCGATGACGTGAGATACGCTCTTACCATACTATACTAACGATATGTCGATATAAATATTAGTATTTTTGCCGCTAAGTGGTTAATTTAACGCACACTTATCAGCGTGGCCTCATAAACATTGCCAGCGGGCCGCCTGTGGCCACTTAACTATCGACAAGATCTTATACACTTTATTTAATTAATTAAGGGAAGTTCGGCGTAGCGGCTACTAGTGTTGGTTGCACGTTTTTGTTTTACCCGCACCTTCGTCTCTTTTTTTAACTCAACGTTCCGCCCCCGCCCCCATTGACAAGCCATTGACAATTTTATGTATGTATATTCTGAAGCCAGTTAGTCTGTCTATAATTATGCCGAAGTACAGTCGCAGCGGTAGTGATCGGAGCGCTTTATGGACGCTGATTATCCTCTACCACCTAGGGCGCATATTGAGCATTTTTAGCTGGAGAATAAAGCAAGATAAGATGGAGTTACGAAAAGCTAAGCGTTGGCATCGCATTTTTATATTGATTTGGCGTGTATTTGTTACGGGTTTTTACGTGAAGCTGATGCCAGCAATGTTTGCATCTTTCCTTATACATGCGGACAACTCTTTCATGTCCATACTCGCACAGGTGCAGGTCATTTCAGTCAGTATTTTTTCGGTAATCTGCTTTGTTACGCAACAACGTTCGGAATATGAAATATTTGTTGTAATTCAGCGATTTATTCACATCTATAAACAAATTTCATCGAAGACGAATGCTAAGGCAATGCTGGGACGAACATTTGTACTGTGTATAATATTGAAGCTCATTCTTAGTGGATTGGGCCTAATATACGAGATCCCCTTGATATTCGAGAGCGGAGTTAGTGGCTCTTTATTGGCAGGCGTTTACCTTTGGCTGGGTAGAATATACATGTTGGACTGTTGCTTTGTGGGCTTTTTGGTTATCAGACAAATGTATGTCGAAATGGCTGCACATCTGGCGCAAATGATTGATACAATGAGGATCATTGATGCCGAACAGCCACACAGGCGCTTAACCAACCATCAACGCATGAAGCTTTTATGCATGCATGCCGAGAGTATCGACGAAAGCAATGCCATTTATACTTCATTGTACAAGGTTACACAGCGGTTTTATCACATTTTCCGCTGGCAGATATCCTTCTACATTTACTACAACTTTGTGATTATTCTTATGCAGTTACATCAGTTTATATTGCGTTATTTTCATACGGGCTATATAGACTTGCTGTCGTTGTTCTCTTCTGTTTTCAAGCTCTGTAATTTGGTCCTGTTAATTATGTGTGCCGATGCCGTAGTGGCAAAGTCACAATTGCCCGATTCACTGGATTTGGATTTAATTTGCTCAGATATCGATGAACGTTGGGATGTAAGCGTAAGTTAATTGAGATATATTTCTTCATTTAAGTTGAAAATGCTATACATAAATAACCAGAATGAATAGAGACGTCGATTAAGCCATGTCTCTCTGTCCGGGTGCACGGTAACTCGAGCAAAAGCTGAGATATCTCAACGAAATTTGGTATATAGGTTACTATTGAAAATAGGCGAAATCGGACTGTAACCACACCCCCTTCTCATATAACGGTATTTTCGAAAAATGCAAAAACTATGTTATTTCAGTAAATATTGGATCCAAATTGTTGAAAATTAGTATGTGGGTAGAATTTTGGTACAAAATAATGTTGTTATGAAATTTTTGGAAAAGGAGCGTTACCCTGCCCACTTATGATGAAATACTCTATCTTAGTAGCCACTTCATCAATCCTTACCAAACTCGGTACGAGCCTTAGTAAAGATCTAATACTTTTTTCTCTTAAGATTATGCATCTCATGCATGAATCGAATGATCTAACCATCGATAGTTTTCCAGCTCTATTCCAACCGCTGGCTTACGCCCACTTTTCCTTAGGAAAACATGAGTGAAGGAATATCTAAGAGTCCAGAATGCTAGAAACGACGTCGCTCTGGTGAAGTCGTCTGGGTGAACTCGAACGAAGTCGTTTTTTCCATACAAAATTCAACGTCGTTCCGACGTCGTTTTTTCTCATCGAATCGAAGTCGTTCCGACTTTGGTCTGGTGAAGTCGATTGGGTGAACTCGAAACGAACCCAGAAGTTTTTTGAGGAACCTTCGGTCTGGGTTGGACAAGTTCCACTCCCACATAATTATATACCTAAGTATAAATAAAAGTCATTCATTTGGATAGTAAACCGTTTTTATTATGACAATTTTTTATTATGACAGAATATGGAATCCACAATGTACACTTGTACTCAGAAAATTAAGCCGCCTACATCTTTTTTCAGTATTCGTAATATTCTTCATATTATTTTTTATATTGTTCATATATTTTTTTTAATAAAGGCACAGTTCACTCTATTGGCCTTATTAATAAAAAATAAAATTTGTGGGTATGAAGTTGTTTTAAATTTGGTATAAAACTGTACTTTTACTTTAAATTTGGTATAAATTTTGAGCATCGTTTTGCAGTTCGCTGGTATATCGTTTTTGGCCGGCGAAGTGTGGTTTTCATCCGACGGTGAGTTCGCCGGGGAGTCGTTTGCGACCGTCGCCGACGAACAAATTGTTCACCAAAACGAGTCGAAAACGACGGGATGTGACCAATGTTTATATTATTGTAATGGTGATTCACATGTATACTATTACTTCCATCAAATTTTGCGCTTTGCCCTTAACATTTTGATAGTAACTTTCATACAAAATTATGACGGGTATTTCTATCAGTATTGCCCAACATTTTACCTGTCTTATGATTGTCACTGTTCTTGTAGGGTTATTTTTATTACATATAATACAATTTTTTTTTTCGCTTTTATTTTCTCCACCTCAGGTTGAAACGTTCATTTGTCAACGCAAAGTGGAAAATCTAGAAATTAGTGTTTTGGGTTTCTTTCACCTCAATAATGAGTTCATTCTAGTCATTATATCGGCCATTATGTCTTACCTCTTTGTACTAATTCAGTTTGGAATGACAAGTAAGTACTTTATAAATATATTTGTTATTTATTTATGTATGTTTATTTGACAATTTATATGTTTGCACTTTTTTTTGTTTTCCAACAGAGAACTCGGTAACAGCCGGCCATGCGTACCCGCACCACACTCTGAATCATAGCTAAAATCGCACAAGTATTTATTTGGCACCTTGTTGCAAGATAGCAACTTGTACATCATCATCTAAATTAAATTTGAATTGTTTTTATAATCACAGCGATTACAGGCAGACAAAATAAAAATTCCCAAAATCTTGTAATTATCTTTTGTATAAAACGAAATAATTTGTGGGACTTTGATGTTGGAACTGAGAGATACTCCTTTATTATGTATGTAAATACATAGGTGTTCAAAGCCCAAGTTGTAGCAGAAGCTGAGGCTGTGTAGTTGACGGTTTTACGCTGAAGCTGATTACGGCACGCAACGGAGCGTAACGCACTTGTCACGCCTATTATTTGCAAATGAACTCAACGTACTGTGACCTTTGTGTTGATCCGCGCCAGCGATAACAGTGCAAAAATGTCCCTCGAACATATCTACATACATATGTATGTATGTACATACCCTGCAGAAAAAAAATATCAATTGATAAAAAATAATCCACTTGTAGTTAGCTTTTTTACGGGATTTCAAAAAGAGATATAACTTGTAGTTAGCTAAAAAAAAACTAGTTGACAATTAATGCAGGAGTAATGAAGGAGATTGTTTTCTTCAAACGCGTTGCTATTTAAATATCCTGCACTTCGCAAATACTTTTTCGAATTGAGGACAAACAAAAGGAAGATCGAAATTTTGTGTTATTGGCTGAATTTCTTTATTCATTCTGAACGTTTGGAATAGACTTTTTTGTTTATTTATTCTTAAGAACGTTCTTGATGATATGTTGACGTATATCTCAAAAGCTTTCTGTTTATTCCGGCTGTGAAATGGGATTATCCGGAATGTATAAAGAAACGCAGCCATTATTTTGAAGTTATGTCTGACGGATTTCGAATATGGGACCACCTACAGCAAAATATGCAAACAAATATGAAATGTAATAAAATAAATAAAATAAATAAAGTAAATAAAAAAATAAAATATTTTGTTTTTCCTATTGATATTTTATGTCCAAAAGTAGTTAGTTACATCAAATGCAGAGGTAACCAGCCCTTGACTATTTCGCGGCCATCGCCATAGAAAACATATATGTAGTTAGCTTTCGTCAAAGAAAATATCAGAAATAAGTGACTTTTAGCTCCTTACTAATCAACCTAAAGTTACTTATAGTTCCATACATTTCCTGCAGGGTATGTGTCTGCGTACGTATGTAAGTTTGCTACACATGTGCATATGTATGTATGTAAGTATATTTGCATGAATTCTTTCGTAAATACAAAGCAAATTTGTTTAGGAGAAATGTAGGTAAGCGTGTGCTCGCCACTATTATTGTTTTTGCTATTGCCATTGTTTGTTGTTGTGTGCATCTTATTAATGTTGGCATTCGCATTGCCTCCGGCGCATGCCCATAATGATAATGAACGGTGGGGCGATCACCGGACAACGGGACATCCGCAAAATTTCATCACAAACAAAAGTATGTAAAATAAATAAACTGAAATGTTAAAATGAAACAATGCACCGAATTAATTTCTATGCCGCTGCGCTCTGATGATTTAACTGTAGAAACGGATTCATCATTACGGCCGCACAAAGCACAACACAAAAAAAAAAAAAACAAAAACGAAAATCGTCAAGTACGGAGGAGCTCACTGGCGACGCTGGTTACTAAGTAAGTACTATGTTTAAATCAAAAAATCGCATACAGGAAAGGAATTTGCATATCGCTATCCATATGAGACTGATCTACATACATAGACCCAAGTATGTACATACATACATATGTATACAAGTTTCTACAACATCCGGCTGCGCGTCGAAGCGAAGCAGTGCAAATCACAAATTTTAGTGTAAGCACTACGCCAGGAGCGCCATAATGTGTGTGGGTTGGTCTTGATCGGACACTGCCAAAAAAATCCATATTCATCCAACAAGTCGCGCACCCGGCACAGCCGCAGCCATAAGGCATCCACCATAAGCCGTCCAACAGTAAACAGCCATTGACCCATCACCGTCAGTTAGTACAGGCTTGTGGAAGCGTTGAAGGCTGAAATTAATTACATTTTGTGTCCATACATACGCACATACTCGTATGAACGTATATACATACATATGAATGAATGCATTCATGCATTCACATAAATATGTAGATACATATACATATATGATATGTATATACCATGTATGTATTTTATAACTGTGTATTTGTGCGCCTACATTCCTAGATATTGCACTTGGACATTTGTGAGATGATGGTACAGCTTTTAAGATGTTTAACAAATAGTTAAAGGGCCAAAGATAAAAGCGCCGCATTTGACTTCAATCGTCGGATAGAGCATATCAACAGTGAGGGTCAAAAATAAGTATACCCTGACGTTTTGACAATTGTATTCGTTAATATTTTCCATACCAAACTATTCATATTTTTATAAAAATATAGTTCAACCACAAAAATCAATTTTTTTTTATTTCATACAGAACTCGAAGAAAATGCAAAAGGTTTTCAATTTTTCAATTCGATTTCGTAGAAAAATTTTGAGTGTGCAGTTTTTAGGAGTGCAAGTTGAAGTCACTAAGAATTACCGTTGATTTTTGAAATTTTTTTTTGCTGAGTGTGTTGTATACCTTATTTAAATTTAAAAAAAAGTCTGTTCGTGGCATGAATTACAAGCGTTATCTGGAAGAAAACGCGCAACACTATCGACAAAAAAAATCTAAAAAATCAACATACATTTTTATTGACTTGAGACTTACTCTTTCAATATATCAGGAGAACAAAAAGCTTTTCTAATTGCCTCTCTTGTGCGAATTAGCGACAGTAGCTCGTCCCGAGTGCAGACACGCGAATGCATAGAATAGTTCTCTCGAAAGCAAACAAAGCCTTCTCGACTTTGTTCGACATCGTCCATGTTTCTGCGCTATATATGTACATATGTAGCAGCACGGGAATGAAGAGAAACTTGCAGAGAGTGATTTTTGTTCGTCGAGAGAGGGATCCGCTTTTCAATTACCTACCGAGCTCCAAGTAGCACTTGTTGGCAATATATTCTTCGCTTGATCCCCAGGCTGACGATTTCTATATATATTTTTTTTAAGGAAAAGGCTACCTCAGAGATAGTACCATATTACATAATTTGATTTAGATCTGATCATTGGATCATGAAGAAATTAACGATAATCTTAAATTTTTAGATGAGCCTTGAAGTCGGTTTTGTTTTTTGCTTAAAAATTACTTGTTTTTTTTAGGGTTTTTATCGTAATTTTTAAATTGAATACATTTTTTCTACAATGAAATTAGATTTCGAAATTTGTTTTTTATATTTAAATTAAAATAATTATATTGACTTACATACATTGATTTAATTTAAAAAATCTAACCACCTCCCAGCGGTCTTGAACCTGCGAGCTCAGAACGAGACCCGGTAGTCTTCACGCGACGCCAAAACCAACAATTGTAAGGAAAGGAATTACATAATTTCGTTGTATTTTTAGCTTTGGCAATTCAAACGCAGATGTCGCTGAACGCTTAAGATTTTCGAAATTGTCGAACTGGTAGGCCATCGCATTAGCACATACTAGTTAATGAACTAGTATTTTTACTGATTGGTTTGGCTTCTCACTGCAGGGTAACAACGCATATCCATACACATATGTACATAGATATACATATGTACACATGTATGCACAATATCTACTATGGTACATATATATATGTAGGTAAATACTGCATTAAATGGTTAGAAAATCTTTATAATGACGTCCTTTTATCTGTGATGTAAAGGGAATTTCTTTAATAACCCCACCGGCTGTGTTAAGTATCGACATACATACATACATAGATATATGTACATACATACATATGTATGTATACATGCATGGGAAAATTAATTTGATCGCAGACACAGGAAATTATTATAATTACTACTAGTATTCCTGTGTAATTAATTCTAACAGCAATCTCAGTCATTTAATGGCTCTCTTCACTAATGGGATGTTAGTTAAAGCACTAAATGAAGAAATCTATACATAAGTATAATAAAATTGTAACAGGCCGATTCTGTACATCATAGATATTAAAGAAAAATTAATAGGGTGGGTCTTTATTAGGGCAACAGAAGCCAAATCTACAATTTCTGTCTGTATGTTTGTATGCAGATCTCTCGAAAACTAATGCATGAAATTGAATACAGTTTTCACCGAAGTATTGCTAGACCTCTAACTTAAAATATAGGAAGAAAAAATTAGAGAGTTGCCACTTGTTTCAAATTTACAGTTTAAGTAAATTGATAGTTCGTCAATGCTAGAGTTATTGGCTATAGGCAAGATTTTTACAAATGTCTTTCTCCATGCGTTGACGAGATGGCCCAAAAAACTAAGTGTATTCAGCGCAATAGCTAGGCATATACTACATATTTGACATTAGTCTGTCCGATCAGGGGCTCGGTTGACGTTCATTGTCGACAAGGATTCGATAACTTTTTTCTGTGTGCAGTCTTCATCATCGGTCGTTGCAATGATGGGTTTGACACATCTCCGTAGATCTTGTTGGCGAGAGGTATTGTCAGGGATGTTATCGGGGTAAAATTGTTGCAGTAATACCTCTGCAGTTTCCACGCTTGTTGACGACAATAATCCGTGACTCTGAAAAGCAACTCGCGGTCATTGCGTTGGTGGATCTATTGCGACTCGTTTTGTAAGGGACCAAACATTTTTCTTCCCCTATTGAAGACTTTGGCCTTTCAAGTGACTGGTGAGTTGGATGATAGTTGCCAGAATTTCTCTGTTAATTTTCGGGAAAAGTCATATGCCTAACGTACATACACTTGTACATACATAATCTATATTTACTTTCAACAAATGCTAACAATGTATGTAGGTTTTAATTATCAGCACACTTTCACTGGCGAATAACGAAATCAAAATAGAAAAACGCGATAAAGCACAGCAAAAACCTCGTTAACATGTACAAACGTGATTTGAAACTCGCTCACCTTCCAAACTGAATCTCGTGACTCATTTTTCGATGTTTTGATATTTGCGGTTTGTTTTGAATTTCTAACATAGGTATGTATGTATGTATACATCAATCCATATTCATCGAGGAATTTACTGCACTGTGGAAGCTTAGGTACATACATACTTCCACGCATAAGTATCAACATACATACATACAAATGTACATATTAGAGATGTGAATTTTTTCGGGATTATGGTTATTTTAACCTTCAAAAAAAGGAGGTTATCAATTTTGTAGCGCATAACATATTAAAGTGCAAGTTTAAGGTAGCTGGGATTAACTGTTGACTGTCGACAGTTTTTTGTCCACGCACTTTCTTCCTTACAGAGTATGTTCAACAAATTTTTTGAGCAACAGCTTGCCAAAAATCAACAGTAAGTCCTTGCTACTTCGAACTTGCACCTGTTTTACTAAAATTTAATGGGCTACAAAACG